GGGGGACAGCTTGAGGCTCTGTCTCAAAAAAAAAAAAAAAAAACCATATTTCTGGTAGAAAAGGACTTTAATCCATTTGATCCAAATCCCTTACATTATAGATAAAAAATTGAAGTTCATAATGGAAAACTTCCATTATGGAGAGCTTCTTCCATAATGGAGAATGTCCTATAAGGAAGTTTCAGCATCCTGACTTTCAGTTAAGATGCCAGGCCCCCACACCCTGGTTTATGCAGTTGTTCCTTTATATTGCCGATATTCCTTTTTAAAAAGCCTTGCCTAACAACTTGGCAATATCTAACAACAGCTATAAAATGATTTGTACTGTTTGATTAAGTAATTTCACTCTTGGGAAAGTAAGAGGTGGGGTGACTACAATGATAGCAAATTTTGTAGCAATAACTAGAAACAACTCCAAGTCCTAACAATAAGAAAATCACCAAGCCCATTGGGCTCTCTTAGCACAGTGAAGAATTAAAGAGTGATTAAAAATTACCAGGATATGGGCCAGGCCTAGCACTCTGGAAGGTCCAGATGGGAGGATCACTTGAGGTCAGGAGTTTGAGAATAGCCTGAACAAGAATGAGACCCTGTTTCTGCAAAAAATAGAAAAAATTAGCCTGGCCTTATGGTGCATGCCTGTAGTCCCAACTGTTTGGAAGGCTGAAGCAGGAGAATTGCTTGAACTCAGGAGTTTGAGATTGCAGGGAACCATGATGATGGCACTGTACTCTAACCCGGGTGACAGAAGAGACTTTGTCTAAAAAAAAAAAAAAAAATTGTCTTTAATTATTTAATGTTTGGGCTCATTGCCGATAGCTCAGTGGTTAGGGCGCCAGCCACATACACCGGGTCTGGCTCAAATCTGGCCTGGGCCTGCTAAACAACAATGACAACTACAACAAAAAAATAGTTGGGCATTGTGGCAGGCGCCTGTAGTCCCAGTTACTTGAGAGGCTGATGCAAGAGAATCACTCAAACATTTGCATTCATGTTTCTTTGCTTTTTGTGAGTTCTTAGGTCAGATGTTTGAGGTTGCTATGAGCTGTGACACCATGGCACTCTACCAAGGGCGACATAGTGAGACTCTGTCTCAAAAAAAAAAGTTTCATGTCTAGGGTTATAGCATAAGGAAATCTTTTTGGAAAAACATTTATAAACCAAAAAATTGAAGCAGTATCTGTGATAGCAAAAAAATTTTTTTTAAAAAAGGAAATAATCTAAATGCCCACTAATGGAATATTATGAAGACTTTAAAAATAATGTAATGAAAATTTGGCTGCTCTATGCAAAAGGACTAGAAGGAAATGATGATAGTGGTTGTTTCTGAATTGAATGAGTCAAGATAATTTGTATTTTCTTTAATACTTTATGAATTTTTTAATAATGAACATGTATTAGTTTTACCATCAGAGAAAAAAAGGTTATAAAAATACCATTATAAGGCTCGGCGCCGATAGCTCAACTGGCTAAGGCGCCAGCCACGTACACCTAAGGTGGCGGGTTCGAATCCCCAGCCCAGACCCGCCAAACAACAATGATGGCTGCAACCAAAAAATGGCCAGGCGTTGTGGCGTGCGCCTGTAGTCCCAGCTACTTGGGAGGCTGAGGCAGGAGACTCGCTTGAGCCCAGGAGTTGGAGGTTGCTGTGAGCGTGATGCCATGGCACTCTACCCAGGGGGACAGCTTGAGGCTCTGTCTCAAAAAAAAAAAAAAATACCATTATAAAAGGTTATAAAAATACCATTAGAATGCTTCCGTGATTAACCCCACCTACCTAGAGCCATTCATTAAGTATCTTGTTCAACACTTATGGCTCATTTGCTCTTTTTCACTTACTTCGATAGTGCTGGGAATATGAAGTTCAATACCATAAGGGTCAGGCCTAGCCTGCTCTACCGGGGGAGATAAACAAGCCAATCACTGATCATAAGTCAGTAGGACAGATATAAATTTAATTAATCTTTGTGATTCTCAGCATTTAAATGGTTTGTGTGACATGAATTTGCATTCATGTTTCTTTGCTTTTTGTGAGTTCTTAGGTCAGAGTCATGTATTTTGGTTACCTCCCTACTAGGTTATAATCTTCTGGAGCAGGGATTATGAATTATTTAATGCTACCTGATGTATATTCAGAGTACCTTAATTTGGTGTTCTATATGAAATCCCACATAAACTAGTTGTGCTAACTGATGATTTCAACTTGAAAAAAACACAAGACAGCAAGCATACAGGCCACTAGGCAAATGGCTCACTGTTCTCTTGTGTCCCTGTGTCCTGCCCCTATATAGGTGGTCATGCAGACTCTGAAAACCCATTTCTAGGCCTGAGTGGGGATCAACTAGACAAACCCATTGTCCTGTGGGCTTTGCTGATCATAAATTAACTTGCCTTATCCAGAATCTGTATCACATGCTTACTTCCAGATTGGCACTCGTGAATGCCAATTGTTCGGGTCAAATTTCCTGCTCAGGGAACAGAGTGAAATCAGCTTAAGACGTTAATGCCCTTTCTAATCAGGCTATAGTTGAGTGACATAACTGATTAAGGCCTTTGGAATAACCTGAAATGTGAGTTCAAATTTTGATCCTTTTTTTTTTTTAGAGACAGAGTCTCATTTTGTCACCCTCAGTAGAATGCCGTAGTGTCACAGCTCACGGCAGCTCTTGGGCTTAGGGCCTTCAGTGATTCTCTTGCCTCAGCCTCCTGAGTAGCTGGGACTACAGGCACCCACCACAACGCCTGGCTATATTTTGTTGCAGGTTGGCCAGGCAGGGCTTGAACCTGCCACCCTCAGTATATGGGGCCAGCACCCTACTCACTGAGCCACAGGCACCACCCAAATTTTGATCCTTTTTGACAGAGGATTATAAAGATAATCGTTGGACAATGGATTGGATCCTTTGCAAAGTCAACAAATGTAGAAGCTGTCTTGGTGTTGCTCCTGCAGCCTCTCAGTGTCAGTCCTACAAGCCATTAAAGACCAAAACCATTTTATAAAATCTGGGTTTCTGGCTGGGCGCCTGTGGCTCAAGTGGCTAAGGCGCCAGCCACATACACCTAAGGTGGCGGGTTCAAATCCAGCCCAGGCCTGCCAAACAACAATGACAGCTGCAACCAAAAAATAGCCAGGCGTTGTGGTGGGCGCCTGTGGTCCCAGGTACTTGGGAGGCTGAGGCAGGAGACTCGCTTGAGCCTGGAGACTCGCTTGAGCCCAGGAGTTGGAGGTTGCTGTGAGCTGTGAAGCCACAGCACTCTACCCAGGAGGATAGCTTGAGGGTCTGTCTCAAAAAAAAAAAAAAATCTGGGTTTCTGTGAAATTAGATGATTTATGGAGATGCAGTGATTACAGTGCTTCACACACAGTAGGCACTAATAAAGTCAACTGTACCAGTTTCAATTTAAGAAAAGTCTTCTGTAACAGTTTTTTAGGTTATTGACTAATATAGTATTACCAAATAATTTAGGACATACAGTGCTTAAACTAAAGAAAGAATCCCACGGTCACACGTACATTGGGCAAAGAGAGAAGTAGAAACTGAATTCTTTCATTTTACCACATCCTAAGAATGTAGGAGATTTAGGAGAGGGGGTGTGAGCTCATGGAGGATGAACTCATGAGATTTCCTTAGTGCAGTTTTCTGGTTATTGTTGTATGAAGTATAGATGCCACAGAGACAGATCTACTAAACTCATTATTTTATAGATAAGGTGATAGGTCCAAAGAGCTGGAGCCTCATAGGAAAAGTAGGAGAGCTAAAGCTAGAATTTACTCCATAATTCATGTCTACTTTTTAGCTCCTCTCTGCAGGAGTTTTTATTTTTATTTTTTATTTTTATTTTTTTGGCAGACTTTCACTCTATCGCTCTGAGTAGAGTGCTGTGGCATTATCATAGCTCATAGCAACCTCAAACTCTTGGGCTCAAGTGACACTTTTGCCTCAGCCTTCTGAGTAGCTGGGACTACAGGCACCCAACACAAGGCAGGGCTACTTTTTTATTATTTATTTATTGGCTGGGGCTGGGTTTGAACCCGCCACCTCCTGCATATGGGGCCAGCGCCCTACCCTTTTGAGCCACAGGCTCTGCCCTGGGCTACTTTTTTAGACAGAGGGTCTCATTCTTGCTCAGGCTGATCTTGAACTACTGAACTCAGGCAGTCCACCTGCCTTAGCCTACCAGAATGCTAGGATTACATGAGCCACCCAACTGGCTCTGCAGGAGTTTCTAAATAGTGGGCTCAATAAATGTTTTTGGTACTAGGCTACCGTGGTTTACAAAAGAAAACTGGTTCCCTTTT